TGTCATAAACGGTTGCCATAGTTTGCAAAAGAGTTAATTGAACCGCACGGTTCTTTTATAAAGCCTAAGGCTACCGAACACTGTAAAAATACAAAAAAACATAAGCTGCAGAATGGTATCAATATAATTTCATAATTTAATATATTTATTTATATAAACTACTTAAATTGGATATACAATGCTTTAAAGCTTAGTTAAACTTTAGTTTTTGTAATTATTTTAGTAATTGAGATTATTTTATCATTCTTTTTCTTGCTGTGTTAAAAGGTAACACCAATTTGCTATCTCCAAAACCCAGCAATCAATAGTCCTTAATTGGCAAACAAAAAAGTTTAATAAATATTTCAAGACCGATTTCAAAGGACTCTTTGGGTCACAATAGACTATTGTGACGTCTTTTGTGACATGCAAATCGTGGTAAAAAAGAAGCATAAGTGAATTTGAATCGCTTTGCGTGCAATTTGCTTCGTCATAAATCATCCTGAACTGAAATACATAAAAACAGAGATCCAGACCGGCGAAGCAACAAAAGATTGAATAAAGGTGAAATTGAAGAAAATAAAAAAGGACAACCGAGGTGGTAACTTTATTTCAGCGCTATTTCGATTCACGTGCTATGTGCAGCACCTGCAGCACACACACACACACACACAACCGTTCACACACACACACAAACTCACCCCGTCCGATATGTGCAACTAACCCAATTTATTTGAGTGTGAAAATTGGCTTTCGCCCATTTTGAAATTCTAAGCTGTTGATGGCGTCGTTCAGCTGCACACACACACACACACACACATAGAAACTCACATACATACATCTACATTTATACGGCAAACGAACTGTATGCGTGGCCATTTTGATAGAAAAACCGGAAAGAGGGAGAATACATCGTTATATACTCACACAGACATCGAATGAATTGCGGAGGTTGTGAGACTTGGTCTGGGAAAATGTGTAAAACGCACGGATTAGATGAAAAATCAAACAGAAAACAGAAAAGGAAGAGGATGAGTGAAAAAAGCTTGTAGCATGCAAATGAATTCCGTTTGGATTGGCTTCCTTTGGCAACTACTACTAAACTAAGCCTCGTGCCTTCCATTTGACTTTTGCAACTAACAATGTTTTTTTGCTTGCCATTTACAATTACTTAAGCTAAAGAAGGGAAAGGTTGAAGGGAAATGTAGATCGCAGTTGATATACTACAAGCTCATTCAAATGTTTTCTTTCAAACGACTGGCTTATAAAAACTTGACACCCTCGTTGAGGAAATAAAAACGAGATTTTAATAAATAAGCCATTCGCGAAATGGGTCACATTTCACACTCAAAATGATATCGAGCAATGAACCGAGAAGTTGATAATTTTTCAGGAACGGGAACGCGACGGATTGGCGCCTGGAAATCTTTAATTGATTTGACGCTCCACTTGCACACTGCACGTCACGAAGAAAGCAAATAGGATGCTGCCGCATGAAAACCAATTAAATTTATTATTCATCAAGTGAACACACATACACGTACCTACATAAGAGAATACATGAGGGAAATATCTGTACACATATATATATACTGTAGTAGTCTTTATTATAATTCTGTAGTATTCTTTATTTTAATTCTTTGCTTTTTAGCTTTTTCACATGCGTTCTCTTCTTAGTCAATCTCAAAAGTCATTATACCAAGGATGGTATCTTATCGATAACTTATTCCATCACAATCATATGGTAACTCTTAATAAGTACTACCCACCCGTTACATCTGGTAACTCTTAATACTACCAGCCTGCTACAACTCGGCCATCCTGATTTTGAGATAGCCCTCTATCTCCTGTTAACATTATCTCGTACATCAATAGATGAATTTGTTTTTCTTAACCAATGTCTAATATTTTGCGCACTCCACACGCCTTGGTAAGGATTTCGAGCTAACTGAAAGCCATCAATGTCTTTGATCAAATACCTATCGTTTTTTAATATCTTATCAATAACATAAGGACCTTTACTTTTTGGTAACAGTTTTCTTGCTACTCCTGCCGAGCTATCAAAATTTTTTACCATAATATAGTCTCCTGTTTTGAATTTATTTGGATCTTTTCTTTTGCTATTATAATATTCCTCATTTTTTGACTGTGCTAATACCTGATTTTGTTCTGCTTCCTTTCTAATCTTTTCCAAATCTCTTTCACAATTTACATCTACACAATTTTCCTCTTCTAGCTTTTGTTTTAGGTCATCACTTATTTCCCCTTTTTGTTGTAACCCAAACAACATTGTACTTGGATATTGTTTTGTACTTCGGTGTATTGTATTATTCAATGTGTATTCAATTTGTTCGATAACCTTATCCCAATGCTGCCCCTCTTTCGCCTCAGTAAGTTTGCTTAACATAGGACCTAAACTTCTGTTAACCCGTTCCACCTGTCCATTAGCTTGAGGCGATCCCGTGGCCACTTTAATGTGCTTTATATTTGCGTCACTTAAAAACTTTTCGAATTCCCCCGAAGTAAAACCACTACCTCTATCTGACACTATGCAACTCGGTTTGCTATATGATCGAAAATAGTCTCTTAATGCACTAACAACTTCTTTACTATTTGTTGTTTTTGTCGCATATAATCGTAAAAATTTCGTACACCCATCTACCACTGCTAATATGTATTTCTTTGATCGACTCTTATCCACTGGTCCATAATGGTCAATATGAATAATATCAAATGGTTTATTACCTTTAGGTATGCTATGTAATACCCCACATTCCTTGCCTGCATTGGATGAAAACGCAATACACTTTAAACAATTTTCTATATGTCCTAACGATTTGACTTTCATGTTCGGAAACCCATATGTCTTCATCATTGCACTAATCATTTTATCCCTACCAATATGTCCTAATTCATCATGATACTTATACATAACATGATCCTCCATAGCTGCTGGTACATAAAATAATATCCTGCCATCATTCGTTTTCCTATATACTACCCCATTTCTCATTTCAAACAATTTCAGCTCACCTTTTTCTAACAATTTTCTAATATTTTGTATTTTCATATCCTTCGTCTGACAAATTACTAAATTTGTTTCTAAACTATTTGCTTCTGTTATCATAATTGTATTATAACATCTCGACAAAGCATCGACGTGCTGCATTCTGCTTCCAACTCTATGAACTATTTCATAATCAAATTCTTGTAACTCCAACGCCCACCTTGCTATCCTTGGATTTAAATCAATTTTATTTAAAGTCAAAGCTAATGAGTTACAATCAGTAATAATTTTAAAACGCTTTCCCTGTAAATATATTCTGAATCTTCTTAAAGCATAGATTATCGCTAAAGTTTCTAACTCAAAGCTATGGTACTTTGCTTCTGTTTCTGATGTGCGCTTCGAAAAATAAAAAATAGGATGAAATTTTTCATCTGCCTTTTTCTGAAAAAGTACCGCTCCAAACCCCAAGGCACTGGCATCACAATGCAATTCAATGTCATCTCTATGATCATAAATTGACAAAACTGGCGCTTGTAACAATTTTTCTTTTAAACATAAAAAACAATTAAGCTCCTTTTCACCAAAATTAAATTTTCTATCCTTTCTAAGTAAATCATACAGAGGTTTTGCAATAATAGAAAAATCTTTAATAAACCTTCTAAAATAAGAACATAATCCTAGAAAACTCTGCACTGATTGAACTTTATCAGGCATAGGAAAATTCTTAATAGCTTCTAAACCCTTATCATCGGCTCGAATACAACCTTTAGATATATGAAAACCCAAATATTTAACACAATCCTGCATAAACTCACATTTATCTAACCTTAATTCTAGTTTATTTTCTGCCAATCGAATCAAAACTTTCTCTAAAATTGCAAAATGTTCATCTATATCTTTGCTTGCGACCATTATATCATCCATATAAACTATAACCTCATTTTCTCTAATCATGTCCGCAAATACAGTATTAACAAATCTTTGAAATACTTGAGGGGCAGTTTTAAGCCCCATCGGCATTTTTAGAAATTCGTATTGGCCCAATGGCGTCACAAACGAAGTGTATTTAACCGAGTCCTTATCCACAAATACGTGAAAGTACCCATTTTTTAAATCCAGTTTCGTAAATATATTTTTTTCCTACAAGTTTATCTAACAAATCGTCTATTAAAGGCAACGGATAATTATCTCTAACCATAATTTTATTAAGCCGTCTAAAATCGACACACATTCTAAGATCCCCCGTTTTTTTCTTTACTAAAACAATTGCTGAGGCATATTCTGAACTACTGGGTTGTATAATACCCTCTTTTAGGTATTCATCTAACATAAGTTGTAGTTTTTCTTTTTCCGCATATGATAGTCTTCTAGGTGAACAACTAAATGGTTTTTCTTTTTCTAAAATAATTTTCATCTCGCCCCTAATGTTGGGATTTGCTTGCTTCTTTGCATTTATATAAGTGCTTTCTAACATTTTTATAAATTTTGCTCTTAATGCATAATCCACTTGTGTCCCAATCTTATATTCTCTTTCAGAATCCACTACATTAATTTGCATCATGCTACTTTGAAAATTTTCTTCCAACACTCCTCTAACTAATTCCTTTGACTTTTCATCTAACAATTTACTAGCTAACAATCTATTATCTAACAATCTATTACCTAACAATTTACTCTCTAACAATTTACTCTCTAACAATTTACTGTCTAACAATTTCCTATCTAACAAACAATTTTCTGCTAACGATTTATCAACCAATTTGTTTTCTACCTTTTCACAATCCATATTCATTTCACTATTTTCTAACAATTGATCTGCTGCTTCCACTAACTCCACTTCATTTATTCCTTCCTGCTCCAAGTTTGGCCTTATGTTGTCTTTACCATCTAATAGGCTTTCAGTACGCTCATTACCATTCACATCAAGTTCACTTAAATATAATTTTATACCATAAAGTTCCATAAAATCTCTACCTAAAACAATATTCCATCTCATAGACTCGTTAGGCACCACTTTTAAATCAAAATTAATTTTATTACTGTTCTTGAAAATGTGACAAAATATTTTTCCGAATACATTTAATTGGCTTTCATTTAATCCAAAATATAACACTTCATGTGTGTGTAATTTAATATTTGTTGGAATACATTTTTGTTTAATAAACGAAACAGGGCTGCCCGAGTCTATGAGGCATTCTGAAATTATAGATTCGTTATTACTATTACTAAAATAAATTACTATTGACCTTACAAAATTGTTTACGCCGCTGTCCTCCGTCTTCACCTTCCTCTTCGGGCACTGCGCCATTAAATGCCCTTCGTCACCACATCCGTAGCAAGATCCCGGCTTCCTCTTTGGCTTACTGCAATCTCGTGCCCAATGTCCCTTGGAGTTGCAATTGAAGCAACGAGAATTTTCTTTTATATCTCTGCCCTTCGCTGCTTCCGACTTCATCAGCAAACCACTCTGCCTAGGTAAGGCAACATCTGCAAATGCTCGCCGCATCTTCGCCGGATTATCAAAGCACTGTAGTTTTGCCTGGATGCGTAGATTTTCATGTGGTATTCCCTCGATAATGCCATCTAATAACTCATCGTCGTCCATATCCAAATCTCGAGCCAACATGCACTTGTCCTCAAAGTATACGCTGAAATTTTCGTCCGATATCCACATTCGTCCAGCAAATTTCCGACGTAGCTCAATTCTCGGAAGTTTTCCACCAAACGCCTCCTTCAGTTGATCCAAAACTTGGTTTATAGGCTTCACCACACGTACCGGATCTGCATGCAGCCACTGCAACGCTTTTCCTTTAAGCTTTGCAATACATAATAATTGTCGCTGCATGTCGTTCAACTTGTGCAATTGTGTAATATTGTCAAACTGAGCAATCCAATTTCGCACTGGTGTATTTCCATCGTACTCCATTAAAATCTCTTTGGCCAATGAAAACGCCATGGATGCCCAGTCACCGAAATTTTTTTCAGCTGCCACATTTCGCTGAATTTCACAACTTGCATTTCCTTGAGCATCATCTTCTACGTCTTGGCATGATGTATCGTCGTCTCCCTCTAACTCTTGGTTTCGTCCATGCATGCGTAATTGTTCCAGAACATTCTTAGCGGCCTCGATTTCTTTGTACAAATTTGCCAACGCTTCTGTTCCTTTAAACATTTCAGCTTGTTGCGATTGAATTACGCGTCTTGTCTCCGCCACCAGATGATCATCCTCCAAATTGTCCACTCTTGGTGCATTTCCACGTTCTGCTGCTGGTACAGCATTAAGACGCACCAGCAACTCAGCTTTTGTGCCTTTTGTGGACAAACCCAATTCGCCAAGCCATTTTTTTAATACCGCCATTGCATAATTATCACCAACTATATCCATTTTTTCTGTTCTTGATCCCACTTCTGAATTTGTAGTAGTCTTTATTATAATTCTGTAGTATTCTTTATTTTAATTCTTTGCTTTTTAGCTTTTTCACATGCGTTCTCTTCTTAGTCAATCTCAAAAGTCATTATACCAAGGATGGTATCTTATCGATAACTTATTCCATCACAATCATATGGTAACTCTTAATAAGTACTACCCACCCGTTACATCTGGTAACTCTTAATACTACCAGCCTGCTACAATACATACATACATATAGCGACGACAACAGCCTCGACTTCTTGGCCAGCAGCAAAATTAAATGAAACGCAATAAATATGAATAATAATCGAGTGACTCGGGCAACGAAAAAAAAGGAAAAAAAAATGAAGAGAAAGGAGAAAGATGTGGAGCGAAAGCATATACATGTACACATGACAACAAGAACCGTAATTCAGATTGTTGGGAAAAAGTCAATTCAACGTTTGCGCTCCAAGGAATCGAAATTGCACGTTTAATCACCTGTAAGCCAGGCGGAATGTGCCCCGGGCAACACTCTGACAATTTCATGGAAAAATATGGCAGGTATGGCAAATATACAACGGACATTATTTTTTGTCAGATTCTCCTGCTGGCTTAAATTCTGTTTTTACCCAAAAAGTATTTACTTTTACCCAAAATGTATGAAAAATACAGAAAAGAAGGTTGTTTTACCACCAACTCAAACCGAATATTTAGTGGTTTTTTCCAGTGTGTAGGACCTGTTTGGCCTTCGGCAGACATTTGATCATTTGTAACGCATTTTCTTATCAATTATTCGAATGCAAGCGACTTGTGCCCCCAGCCATCTGGCTCCTCTGCTCCTTTGCTCCTTTTGCTCTCATCCGCCGCCGGGTTCACTTCCGTTTCTCATCCTGGTGGCAACATTCCACAGCCACTGGCATGCGATTCGACCGCAAGTCGGGCTGAAAAAGCGAATGCCATGAGACAGTAACAGCATCTAGCTGGCAAACTAACGAGTGAGTCTGTTGGAGCGAGCAGCAGTAGAAAACAGCAGGCAGCCAAAACGAACCAAACCGAACCGAAGCGTAGTGAACCTAACCACCCGCAGTTGGCACTTCACCTCCCACTGCCGGGTTTCAAGTGTCATAAATGAGAATTTATTCAGCCAGACATTGTCATTGTCGCCATGGAGGAGCGAGTGGCAGAGTGGAAGAGCAGCAGCAACAGCAACATCAGCAGCAGCAGCTTCACATGGAAAGTGGAAAGTGGAGAGCCTGTGGCTGTGTTGACGCGCTCAGGTGGCAAATTTGCCATCCAGGTTGCCAGGATTCTGGCATTGTCAACTGCAACTGCCTTCCGACGACGACCTCTTGGGGAGCCCCAGTCAACGGGGGTCACGAACTCTGAACCATAAATTTCATTAACAGCTGGTCGTCGGCCAACGACTGCCGCTACTGCTGCTGCCGCTGCTGTCTGCACTGCGGATCACCGAGATTAGCTTATAGATTATATAAATTATAATTACGCATACAATGTAGTCCATTTGTAGCCGCCATTGTTTGGCCGCTCTTCGTGTGCTTTGACCTGTGTGGAAAACATAGAGAGGATGCACAGGGAGAAAAACAAATAAACCAATGCCATAACAAACCATTAAACACATTATACTAATGGAAACAAAAAAATGGTTGATTTAACTCTTTAACATTGTGTAATTATTTAATTTGATTCCATAATTAAACACATTTTATGATATTTACAACTTTCAGTTGGCAAGCAGAATTTTTTGGTCAAAATCCCAGCTGTTTCGTTCAGCTACACACATTTAATAGAATTTTAAAACACAAATTATTAATTTAATGTAATGCAATATTGTAGATACTTCTATCACAGACGCATAAAAATATATCGAAATTATTTCTAGTGCAGAGCTGGGGAAAAAGTTAGAAAAGTGCACTCTCAACAACAATATACTTTTCGTTTTGCCACACATTTTGTGGTACATTTTACGTTGACAACAGCCATGCAATAACAATACCAAATACTTGAACTGTATTCCCCCCACAATTCACTCCCCGTCGCCTCCCCGTTTTTCCTGGCCCACTTTGTCGCATGTTGTCTGAGGTCGAGGGTCAGGAGTTCAGGGGTCGGCCGGGGGTCGAAGTCGGGCGAACGAGATGGCCATAACTGACTGTTGTCAGCAGTTGCAACAATGCAAATGCCAAACGGTCACTAGACCAACAACAGCAAAGCCATCTAACGATTTTCTAATGGACAAAAGAGTAGGACAGCCAACACAATATGTGTTGACAATGCAAAATAAAAAACATACAGCACAAATTTGGGAAGAATAGGGAGCATATTTCATCAGAGTAACCAAAAATTCAATACTTGTTTAATAATTCCCTATTTAAATGCAAAAATTGACTAGATAAATATGGGAGATTTGCTTTGAAAATATTCTAACAATTTATCTGGTTTATTAAATATTCAAGCCAATATTAGCTGCTAAAAATTCTCTTTAAGGTTTTAACCACACAGTCAAACTATTTGTCTGAATTTATTTGAAGGGACGAAAACCTGTGACCCTATGAAATTTTCATGCTGGTCTTCTGTGTGCACTTTCAATTTAAAATAAGCTTCGAGAGCTAAGGGGGTAAGCAAAAAAAAAAAAAAAAACAATCAAATCAAATATTTATATGCGGGCGCGCAAGACACAGAAAGCTGAAGCTGGCTAAAACCGGGCATAAACTGCCAAATACGTGGAGGCCAAAAGTAAACTTGGAATGAGCTTTTGCCTTTTTGTGTGCCGTGAATACTTGTTTCTCCATCTTCTGTTCTTCTGTGTTTGCTCTAGATTTTCCACTGCTGCAACTTGGAAAAGTTTTCGTCGGACAATTCAGCTTAACAGCCCCATAATAATGCGGAGAAACAAAAGTTTTTTACGAGCCTATCGCTTGTTCGTTCGAACATTGGCCTGAAATTAAAAAAGATTGTTTCTCATGCCGAACGCGTTTTCCAAACAATCAGAATACAAGAATCATCCGAACACGTATGGGTGATGTGGTGTGGGGGAAATTGTAGCTGGGAAATCAATTTAGGCAACTTGAAAGGCCCTAAAATGCTGGTAGCCTCGACTTTTCCCCCCTCCGAAAGACGTGTTGAAATTGATGTGTATGTAAATGTACAGGCGGCAAAGCGGAAAAGACTTGCACTCAATACAATCAGGGCCGCCAAAAACAGAATCAAATGAAATTGATTTGTTTCCTTTTTCCTCTTTTAGCTCAATTTGGTTTCAAGTGAATAAGGAAAGCGAAAAAGGAAAGGCATCGCTCACACACACACACACATACACACGTATCATAAGTGCGTACTTTTCCCTCACTTTTTTTTAGCACACTTTTTGGGGTTTTCAGCTTCACTCGCATTTTTCGCTCATCTCAAGCTGTTGGCAAAAGATTTCCACTCTGCTTTCCTCCTCCGCTTTCCACTTTCCACTCTCCGCTTTCCATTTCGTTTCTGCACATCTTTTGTAAGTTTCGTAAGCAGGATAAGCGCACTGAGCCTGGCCAAAGCATAATGTAAGCTCCTGCCAAAGCTGCACTTAAACTTTTGATATCAATAAGCAGCGGAAAAACGAAGAGTAAGAAAAAAATAACAAAGTGTAAAAAACCCAAAATGCAATCCTAGCCGAGCGAAAACAACAACAAACTTAAAAAGCCGAGAAGAAGGAATAAAGATAGTGAGAAGAGTAAATCAGTGCCAACGCAGCTGAATGCAAAACTGTCCGACTGAAATTTTCGGGAACAAAGTTTTCTCAAAAAAACACACAAAAAAAAAAAGGTCACAACGAAAGCAAAAAAAAATATGGAAAAAGAAATATAAAAGAAAAAAAATATGGAAAAAGAAATATAAAAGAAAAAAAAGGAGGAAAAGCAAATCTAATGCAAAAACTGTCATTTAGAGTTGCTCCTCTTATTTATTTTCATGTCAGTTGCACGTGCGTCAGGTTCACATTCCTTTTCACTCGCTCTAACTATTCATTTCTCTTTCTTCAGCCATTTTACCACGCGAAGAAGAAGAAAAAAAAACTAAGCTAAAATGACACGCTCACGTTTTACTTCACGTTCCGGCTGTGAAGGAAAATGATGATGATGACGATGATGCTGATGCTGATGAGCACTATGAAAGACAGCAGGACAAACGCTCGCAGACAGCTGCTAACTAAGGAATAAAAGGGGGCAGGAAATCAGGGAGAAGGTCAGGTGAAGTGATCACCTGTGGAAATCGGACCACCCACCACCCACATCCCCATTCATCCCTCATCATCATTCTGCCCGCGTTTGTCAACTTCAACTCGGAACATTAGTTCACACAGCTGAGGCTTTTTTCACCAGCTGCTGCCCTGCCACAGAATCTTGATGGTCAACTTTAGGGATGAACATTAAATTTATTATTCGGCATAATTTTTAGATCCGCTTATAATAAATGCGTTCAAAATAAATGCCATAGAATAGTTATCTTGGCCAAGGGCAGTAATAATCTAATCCTTTTATATATTATCACCCCCTTTAATCTTTTAATAGATATGAAAAGAGGGGTTTTTAGATTTCCACAATAAATCGATAACAAGCCACTTTATTCCAAACATTTATTACATTTCACTTGCTTTAATCCCTTTTCACCAAAATTGAATGCAAAAGGTTAAAGGCTTTTTGCGACACACAGGGCCAAAATGCAAAATGTCCTGTGAGGTATTAACGGGCTGGAAAGAACAAGCGTATCGGACATGTTCGTATCAAGATTGACGGCCAACAGCGAAAGAGATGGCAAGTGACAAAGCGACAGAGACAGAGACAGAGACAGGCTGCAAGGACAACGTCACAACGATAATCAAGTACATGCCACTGGAGACATTTTGGCAAACTGTTTTTGCTTGATTGAATTGAATTCGAAACAAGGCCTAAACTAAAACAACACCAAATGGTAGAGCAGGGAAGCAGAGAAGAGCAGTGAAGAGCACAGCCCGCCCCAACTGTCGCAAAATCAATAAAACTTTTGCGACCCCTCCAAACACAAGGAAAGGGAAAGAAATAGAGGGTGTTGTTTGCCAATGGAGCAGCAGAAAGAGAAGGAAAGCGAAGAAGACGACGACGACGACCTCTGTAATTCCGATACAACTCTCAGCGGGCACATTAGCAACATGTGTTGCCCTCCAGCTGGAGCAGCGAGTGTAACTCAAGCCGTAGAGAAATTTGTTGCGATGCGAAATCATAGCAGAGTGTTTGTGGCCAACATAAAATAGATATA